TTTTAAATTTTCATCCTTTATTTACAGGAGACATTGATCATCTTTATCATTTTTGTAGAGCTTGTATAATTTTCCGTGGACTGCCTATGCATTTGCTTTCTTCATTAATCTAATAGTATCTGTTGTTGTTAATGTTCTCATTAATTCGTAGGGGCTTTTTACAAATTCATAACATCAGCATTTATGTACTGAATGTTAATTACTTGGAATGTAATGATTTATGATTGTCAAACCATAGATGAGGTTTATAATTTTGGTTACTTTTAGAAGTATTATTTTTATTTTAGGTTTTCTTTTAACTTGAAGTATATTTTATTAATATTATAAACCCCAATTAGTTTTTGCCTTTATAACTCTTTTATTCTATGTCCAACATTTTACAGAAGCTTGATAATAAAATAGAAGTTAAGCAAATCATTATTGTAAGTTTTATCTTTTAACCCTAAAGTATTTTGTGATATTTTATTTCCTTTCAAAAATTTTAACAGTAATTAACTTTAACTATTTTGTTGTTGTTTTTTACTTGACTTTTCCACACCCTATTTTAATTATTCTATAGTACTTTATTTTCAGTAACATCTTAATCAACCAGGACATTGTCCTGGAAGGGTAGGAAACAGAATGCACTTCATGAGTCCTCCTTTGAGAATGACTTTATGCTGCCCTTGCAAATAGAAGAGTATGGATGTTTATGAAATCACTGGTTAACATTTTTCTAGTTCTAAATTACACATATAATGGTCAATATCCATATGCCATCTAGTGTTGCTAATGAAATATTTGAATTTTTTCACTTTGTAAGTAATCTGCATTTTTCTGTCTGGAAATTTGTGGATAACTTCTCTCCTCACCTTACCCGTCCACTTCATACATTTTATCATGCTATTTAGGTGTTCCTATTTCATTGATGGGCCTGCTCTGTGTTTTTGTCTCATATGGACTGAATAATGAGCTTCCTTGATCTCTGGTGGCTTCAGCTTGGGTTTGGCACTGGAGATAGGAGGATAGGAAGAGAGGGAGTTGGGAATATTCATTTTCTCCTCTGCCTCCCACTGTGTCCTCACAGCTTGGCTGCCTTTCTCTATAGAAGGCAGCTTCCAACACAGCGATGCACTCCACATTCTGGTCACCACTCCCTTGCCCCTACAGTCCTAGGAGTGGTCATTTCTCCATAATGTTTCTAAACCTAGGATTTGGCACCATCCATACTTTTGTGGAAACTCCTTCTCAGTGACCCAGGTGAGTGCCACCTGTTCTCTTTTTGGAGAGAAATCCCTATTCTTTCCTCTACCCTTTCTTTAGACTTTCCACCTACCACTTCAACAGCTGTATTTCTGACTTCAAAATGTCCAGTTTGATAATATTTCCAAACTGTCATATGACCAGAATTAAGTCTCCCTGTTTGTCTATTTGTCATTGCCCCAAATGGTCTTCTAATCCCGCTAGCCAGTAAGACTGCTAATTTCTTTACATTTATAAAAATTATGACATCACTTAGAGCCTGCCTTTAGGCTAAAAGACTTTTAAAAAACAAGAAACTCATTCAGTGCCATCCCCCCCCCCTTTTTTTAATCCTCACCCAAGGGCATTTTTTTTTCCATTAATTTTAGAGAGAGTGGAAGAGAAAAATATTGATGTGAGAGAGACACATTCATTGATTGCCTCCTGCATGCTCCCTGACTCAGGGCCCAGGCGAGAGAGGAGCCTACAACCAAGGTACATGCCCTTGACTGGAATCAAACCTGGGACCCTTCGGTCCGCAGGTCGACGCTCTATCCACTGAGTCAAACTGGCTAGGGCCCATTTCTTTTTTAAATTATTGAAGCCTTCTCCACAATCTGCCTGTTTTCGGTCATTCTCCAGTGCCTTTAGGTAGAAGTTTTAAAATATTTTATCCAGAGGTTATAGGTGTCTGTGGGAGGGTTGGCCAGTTAGGGGTTACTCACCATTATCAGAATCAAAATCAGACATTGTATATTTTATATGAAAAGGATGTTTACTCATTGAAGATTATTCTCTTACACAGATGCAATAATTTAGCAAATCTCACTGAGAATATTAATTTCTGGGAATGATGTTTTGGTAGTCATTCTTTTATTGGCAAGTATTTCTTCTGAATAGCCTCTGATTATGAACTGCTAGATCTTGTAGTAGTCTTGCTGTGTATGCTGGTTTCATAAGGTGACAGAAAAGGTGTGTCTTGTTGGATTTCAGAGTTAAATGAGATTATTTTAGAAATTACGCTCTTAATGTGTTAGTACAACTCTGCAGTGGACTTGTCTCTTCAATCCATAGGCTAGCTCTTCCTATAGAATTGTCCCTATCTTCATCTACAATATAGTCTATTTAAATTCCTCAAGGCTTCTGGAATATGAATGATTGAATCAATCCCCCTCCCTGCTTTTAATAGCACCAAACCGTATTTCCTCTTTATATTTATACTAGAGAGCCGTGCATGACATTTGTGCATGGGTAGGGTCCCTAGGCCTAACCGGTGATCAGGGCCAATCAGGTTCCCTGCCTCCACGCCTCTTCTTTCCCTTGCTCCCTCAGTTCCCTGTGCCACCAGCGCTGCTGGTCACCCACCATGTTCTGCACCACCCCCTAGTGGTCAACACATGTCATAGAGAGAGATCGAATTTCCATTCTCCTGGTCGAATTCCCAAAGGGACACTTTGCATATTAGCCTTTTATATAGATAGATTCTTTTGCTCATTTCAGTGAGAATTTTTCAGGGGCTGAAAAGAGGGTAGGATATTTGTGACCCTGGCTACCTATCTTATATAAGAAGTAATTTTGCTCTAATTCATTTAGGAAAATGTTTAAATGTCCTTTTTTTCCTGCTAATATTTGGAATATTGTGCATGAGTAGATAAAATAGTCTTTAAAACATCTTTAAGTTTTAAAGGTATTTGAAGAGTTCATCACATGCCTTCATCTATTTGTGTGTCTGTATGTAGCTTAAAACCACAATCTATTATCTCTCATGGTTCTACGGATTAACTCAACTCATTTATGTGGTTGTTTGGAATTGCTCATGCAATCAAAGTTGGAAGGCATCTGGACTGCAGTCATCTGAAAGTTTGACTGGACTGGACACCCAAGATAGCTTATTCACATGGGAGCTCATCAAGGTTGTCCACCAGAGTGCCTACCTGTGGCATCCACATACAGTTGGGTTTTTTACAAAACAAAGGTCATGTTTGCAGAGATAATATTCCTAGAACAGGTATCTCAAGACCCAGGAAGGAGCCAAGTAGTTTAAGGGCTATGTTCTGGAAATAGCACAGCATTGCTTCTGCCATGTCCTATTGGTCAAAACAGTCCACATGCCTTCATCTTTTGAATGAAGTCACGTTTTCAACTTTGAGTAAAAAATTCAGTCATATATATTATATATATATATACTTATATATGTTAAAAATTCATATATATCTATAGCTATATATGTAATTCATTCCTACATATATCAATAATTTCCCTCTGTCTTTATTAATTGAACTAGTTTCACTTATTTTTTTCTTATTTTAGTCCTATTTCTTCTTGGGTTAACAATACTGTTTGTGAAAGTAATGAAATTACATTTGCTTTAATTGTTATTCAGATTTCTCCACTAGGCAAACCTTCACCCATACTACTTTGCTCTCTAAATTTGAGATTTAAATGTAGATTAGTGCTGTTGCCTAACTTTCCAAATATTTTTTTTTTGGAATGATTGGGGTGACTTAGATGATACCAGCAGAACTCTTAATTGAAGGTCAAGGAAGGCAGCTCCTATTGGCAAGAGAACCTCTAGCTTCGTTGAGAGGCATTCAATTAGATGGAAAACAGATGCTTATTTTTATCTTAAAAACCTCAATGCAGGTTATGTTGTAATTACTTCAAAGAGCAGGATAACAATTTATGTAATCAGCAGGACCCTATAATTACTAATGCATAATTTCTAAACAGCATTTAGCAAAATGAGGCCCATACATACACTTTGTAATAAAAAAGATGTGTTTGACACCACACTAAATTAAATTAAAATTAGCATATTTTCTTCCAGGACATACACTAGCTTCATCTGCTTTATTTTGCTTCACTAATTCCTGTCTACTTCTCGCTCTGTTATATGATTATGGAAATGCTGACTCACAATGATAGCTGAACAAGGGCATAGGAACCAGAAGTAGAGAAAGGCTGCCTCCCCTGCTGTCCAGGACATTATAAGACCACCTAAGACCATGGTCAGCAAACCGCAGCTCGTGAGCCACATGCAGCTCTTTGGCCCCCTGAGTGTGGCTCTTCCACAAAATACCACGTGCGGGCACGCATGTACAGTGCGATTGAAACTTTGTGTCCCATGAGCAGAAGTCAGTATTTTGTGGAAGAGCCAGTATTTTGTGGAAGAGCCACATTCAAGGGGCCAAAGAGCCGCATGTGGCTCACGAGCCAAGGTTTGCCAAGCTGCAGTTTGCTGACCACTGACCTAAGAGATGACCCCAAAATTACATCTAGATAACTTGTTTCACCTGAGAGTTTCACATGAAGGTCACATAATCACTTAATTTAGGATATAAGTTCTGGCAGATAACTTAAAAAATTACTTGTTCTTATCTCTTTATAACATGTAAAAACTGAGGCCCAGTGACATGATATGACATGTACAATATTAAGCAGTTGGCAGAAGTAAGAACGTATTCCCTCAGTTAGTCCCAGTCCTATGTGAAATCCATCCCACTATCCTGGTCTCCTCACACAGAGTTAATGGTAGACAAGCCCCACTGATACTGAACATTTCTGTAGTAAATATTTTGAAATTTACTTGTACATTTGCATTGCTAGTGAGAGTTTAATAGTAGCAGGTAGAAAATGCAGTGGTAGTAGATAGTAGTCGTAACACATGTGGCATCTCCTTGGCAATGAGTAAGTTCTACCTTTTAAGAAAGTTGAATAGCAGTTACTTACATTCTCTGAAAAGACCATTGATGAAATTGCACACCTTGACGAATTCTTACCTTTAGTTCCTGAAGTCAGGTCAGGGTGATCACCAATCTCCTCTTCAAAGCTCTGGACCTGAGACACCAGAATTCGTCAATCTCATTATCTTGTTCCCCAGATACCCCAACCTGCCTCTATAGTGACAGAGAGGTGTATCAGTAACCTGTCACTGTCCTGGTTTCTGTGCCCTTCCCTGCACTGTGGTTCCCTTTAGGGCGGAGTTTGTTCCCCCAGAGCCTATCAGAGTGCATGCCTCACAGCAGCCGGCTCAAAGGAGAGGTGGCCAACCTTGGGATTTACAAGTAAATATCCTCCCCCACTACTAGATAATTTGACATGAAAAGAGGGGTGGGGCATGCTCTTCTGTATTTTCTTTGTAATTATATTAAAGAATGGAGAAAATAATGAAAATGTGTATATACATATTTTTTAAAAGACTGAGAAGTGCAGGTGGCCATGCCATCTAAATAGGGTGAAAATTAGCATGAATGTATGAAGGTGGGAGAAAAAAGCAGAGGAGATATGTGAAATGGGAGTCAAGCTATGTGACTGTCAATAAACCCCAAAGCGAACTAACAAAATACTGATCCCATAAAAATAAAAAATAAGCCCATCCTGCTTCTTTGTCTAAGGCCCTGCATTAGTCATCTTGGGGGAAATATTTCAAAGACACATCCCCTCGATGACAAAACCTGGGCCTCTAGGAACTGGTGCAGTGGTGAGGGGTGGGCGGAGGGGGCAGACGTCCTTGACACACACACACACACACACACACACATACACACACACACACACACAATCTCTACCTCAACAAGCTCTCCCTGCCGAGGCTATGAGAATACAGAGGAGGAATTTCACAAAGTGGGGAGTAGTTGAATGGACCCTCGAAGAAGATGAAATGTGGAAAGAGTAGAGAAAACCATCCTGAGATGCATAATAAAACAGTGAGCAACAGTGAGAAAAAACTCATGGATTCAACTGAGAGCAGGGACCAGAAAAGGGATGGGAGAAAGCAACGGCTGGTTTCATATCATTTAGTTCTGACTGAAGCAACCAGAATGACCTTAAATGTCCCAGAGTAAACAGGAGTTTGGAACGTAAGACCTAATGCCGAGGGGCTGACAGATGAAGGGGTTAAATGAGGGCTGAAAGGCAAAAGGTGCCTTGATGAGGGTTATCTCCCTTAGAAGCTGAGCGCAAAGTACAAACAACACTGACCTCTTCCATTTCGAAGGAGTCTGGTGCCTTCCTCGCCCCAGATAAGCTCTTGAGCTTGTTAGTCTGAATCGCATTTTCTTTCCGAGTTCTGTCCTTGACTGACCCCTCAGACACACAGGAAGGGGGAGTCCGCTGGACTAGCATGGGTGAGTAAGGCCAGCGCCTTTTCAGAAGAGCTCTGGGAGGACGACAAGGTATCAAGTCATCACAGGCTTGGAGAGACCAATGCTCGGCCGAAGGAGATAAATGACTTTGGTCGAGGTTGTCTGTCACGGCTGGTGACTCTATTGCACATCCTCCTGGTCCTGCACAGGTGCTGGAAAAATGTTCCCTCTTCTTCAAAGACCCTGACACTTCTGAACTACTGTCGCTCCTGATCTGCTTCGAGGCTCTCCTGAAAAGTTCCCCCTCTCTTCCTGGATGTCCTTCGGCTCCACTCACTAAAGCTCTTTGCATATTTTCTTCTTCGTCTTTCTCTTCAGCTTTGCTCTGCCAGGTGCTAACATCATTCAGCAAAGATGAGAAGGCATTGGCCACCTGACCCAGGATTTCCAGCTGTCGGAAACGACCTGAACGATATAGAAAGCACAATTTTTAGGCTGGGTTTTTGTAATGAAACTGCACTGAAGTTGTCAAAACTGGAGAGGTTGGTTAACACATGTGATTTTTCAAGATGAGAAGGACTTGAAGCTCCAGAAACTCATTTTTTTCTCTGTACATGCTACTAATTACTATAAAGGTACTCCTCTATAGAAAGTTATGGGGAAGTGAATACCTTTTGTATTTAGTTGTACATGCATACTAGATAGATTCATAGATGCCAATAATTAATGGTGTGTTAATCCATAACATCGACAGGCAAAGATATATCTTGAGTTCAATCTTGTGAATTAAACTAAATTGTCAAAAAGTAAACCCAGCTCTTTCATACAAGATGAACTTGAGTTTCTCCCACTGCTTTAGGCAGTGTATATCCTCATCCTCGCCTCCATCCTCTCCATCTATTGCCACCTGAGAGTGTGGAAAAATCATGGCACATGGAGTCAAAAGGCCCGGATCCAAATTCCAGGTCTACCTTTTCTCTGTCATTACAACCAGTGACCTTCCAGGTGGGCCAAGTTCATGAATAAGACAACATGGAACATATTCCCTTCCCCCAACACACACACCACCCCGCAGTGGACATGTAGAGGGATCCAGATATAAGCTGTTCTGTTTCAGCGATGACAGGAGGGGTGGATTGCCACTGTACACATCTCCCAGACCATCTCTCCTCATACTGTGGCTCACCTCCCCGCTCACTGTGTAACTGCAGAACCAGCTCAAACTGATCTTATTTTAACAAGATACTGGGATGTTCTTCAGGGACAACTGAATAAAACCACATTTGGTCAAAGCATGTGCAGAGGAGAGGATTTTGACCAAAGTCTCTCCACCCCCACGGAGCCAAAGCACTGGGACAAAACTGGAACCTGAACACCGGAATCCTTTCAGAAGTGAAGGGTCTGCTGTCCAGGGAGGTTGGGTGCTGAAGCCTTTACCAAATCTTACCATGACCAGCCAAGCTCCAAGGCCCTCCAGTTGAAACTTGCCCCTGCCCCCTCTCCTTCCCCCCCTCCCCCAGTGATTTTGCATGCCAGCAGGTTTCCCTGAATCCTGTCAATCTCTCTTTGAACCCTAGATCAGAAGACAGATTTGAGCTCTGCCCCTTATCTTTTTGCTGGTTGATCTTACAATAAAGATTTTTTTTCTTAAAAGCCAGTGCCATAGTATTGGCTTCTATGTGCACTGGGCAGCGAGCCCTTGCTCTGTAACAATTCCCATCGGTAGGACTTGGATGCCATGTGGTCCTTACTTACCATACAAGTTAGGGTTCTCAATGTCCATTCGCTGCTTTTGAGCTTCAAGAAAAACATGGATATTGATCCCTGTGGCTGCTGAGTCACAATCCAGGAATCTGGCTGGAATTTGTGTACAGATGTCTGGCTCATCAGCACCAAACCCCAGGTCCAACAGAATGTCCACTGGATCTGTTTCCCAAAATTCCAGCCACTCAGGAATGCTGCAGTAAAAAATATGAATGTCTTTATGCTGTAACATACATGCCTTATAGTTTTCACATTTGTTTTATAGATAGTAACATTATGTATCTTTTGGCATCATGCCTTTTTTCTACTAAAAATATGAATTGAAGATCTTAAGTTATTATATATACACAACTACCTATTCCTTTTGTCACTGTACAGATTTCCATAAAATGGGAGCCAATAACTTATATGACCACTTCTCCATTGACAGATATTTAGCCTATTTCACTGACCCTTTTATACTCCTCTTGCAAGTTAGGGTTTAAAAATCCTCACTCATTCTCTCCTCCACCCGTTCATGAATTTCTCAAGTGCCTACTTATCGATTCATGAAATCCACTGTTGCCTGGGATGATTTTCCTGGATGTGAAGTGCCTGGAAACCACATACCTTTGTGGTATACTCACAGCAGAATGGCACGAGTTGAAGCTGGTCCCTCTGGATAGGGTGGGAGTTTCTGAACATTGGTGCAGAGATCTAGGGTGAGAGGGTAGCAACGATGAAATGAGTCCCTTTAGATCAGTGATGGCGAACCTATGACACGCGTGTCAGAGGTGACAAGTGAACTCACTTTTTTGGTTGATTTTTCTTTGTTAAATGGCATTTAAATATATAAAATAAATATCAAAAATATAAATCTTTGTTTTACTATGATTGCAAATATCAAAAAATTTCTATATGTGACATGGCACTAGAGTTAAGTTAGGGTTTTCCAAAATGCTGAGTTAAGTTAGGGTTTTCTAAAATGCTGACACGCCTAGCTCAAAAGGTTCACCATCACTGCTTTACATCATCCCCCAGGCAGTGGGGGGCGGGGGGGGGTGTGGAAGGGGGCATTGGGGGCCTTTCTCTTCCAGAGCACACATTTGCATTTCCTGGTCATTCCTAATAACCCCACAGGGGCCACTTCAGCCTTTGAAGAGGGAGCGCAGCAGTGGAGGGGAGTGCTGTCTACAGAAGGTGTGGGGGTTTAAGTGTCAGGTGCCCACAAGTGCTCATTATGAAGGTGACAGAATGTCTCACTTTTGACAGATGGCAAATCATTGGGGAACCTTTCAGGATTGATCCTTGCTAGGCTCTGACTTTCTGGAGGAAGTTAAAATTTTGTTATGAAAGAGGTAAAGGCAGCAGCCACTGAAGCGACTCAACATTCATTCTCATCATGAAGGACTTCCTAGGGCATGGTTAGTGTTCTCTGAGTGCTGTCTCTAGGCTCAGGGCCAACCACACACAACAGTAACACTCTCCTTTACGGCCTCAAAAACCAGCATCCCTCTATCCAAAGAGACCTGCACTGCAGGTCATTTGAAAGCATTTGCAGCCTGGCTGGTGTGGTTCAGTGGTTGAGCATGCCCCAGGAGGTCACTGGTTTGATTTCTGGTTAGGGCACATGCCCAGGTTGTAGGCTCAATCCCCAGCAGGGGCTGTGCAGGAGGCAGCTGATCTATGTTGATATTTCTCTCTCATCAATGTTTCTATTAATCTTTCCCTCTCCCTTCCTCTTTACCTAAAATCAATGAAAACATATTTTAAAAAGAAAGCATTTCCAAACAGAACAGAACCCTGTCATAATGTAGTTGACTTGTAGATACCTCATCTACACTACAGCTGCAACTAGTCTCATCAATTACAACAGCCAGTTGGCACAAAATTGGAATTTATCAAAGAATACAATGTAGATAACAGTTTTCCCAAGGAGACCAAGGTATCCTGTGTTCACAGCTGAATTTGCCATAATCCTGTCCATTATTAGTAAGAATAGGTGGGCCCTGCCTCTTTGTTCAATTGCTTCTCTCGACCTATAAAAGCTCATAGTCTAGTTCAGTAGTCCTTAAACCAGAGCGTGCCCAGGACTATGCAAACACCTTACAAAAACACCGATTTCTGAACTCTACCCCTAGGTCTTCCTATTCAAAGTGCCTGGGTTGGGGATCAAAAATCTGTCCTATTAAGTTCTCAGGTGATGCGGATGCTGCTGCTTGGGGTCACTTTCACTGCTTGCCACCTAACATTGGAAATTAAAATAATTAAATTATAGCATGATTGTCAATAATATTGGCAATATGAACTATGAATATAACTGTTTTATGAACAGGTCCTGTGAACAGCTGAATTATAGTAGAATGCCATTTCTGCGTGTTTTAATTAAATCCCCCCAAGTCGGAATTTGTTGATATAATTTGCTCACTCCTTCATGACATTTTAAGAACCTGTATTTCTCTCAAAAACACTGCAGCACTGGGGCTCAACCAATGACAAGATCCCAGGATCCATGTCATTATTAAGAACCATCCTCACTGTACTTCCGTCATGAGAGACGTGGCCGTAAAATACTGGATTGAAGCAACACTGATTCTGCCACCTACCTCAGGTAGTCTTTCACAGTCATTTGAACCATTCCTTGTTCATGCGAGAAAACTGCAACAAAAAAGGGGGGAGATGAACTTAATTTCCTTTCATCTCATGGAAGATTTTCTCATCCTCAAAGGAACCAACGTGTGACTGATTGCCATGTCTGAGATTGTATGGCATGAGATACAAGGCGTCTCTGTAGTGAACAAGACAGAATGTAATTAATGGCTAAATGGTGTGACAGGCACTTGAAGATGTGTACTTGCTCAGTGAAAGCGAAGTCAGTGGCACGTGAAGTAGTCAGCAGTGACTACCTGGAAAGAAGCAGTACTTGTCTCGAGTTTTTAAGAATAAGGAAAAATGACCCAGCTGGTGTGGTTCAGTGGGTGAGTGTCAACCTAGGAACCAGGAGATCAAAGTTCGATTTCTGGTTGGGGCACATGGATTTGGGCTCAGTCCCCAGTAGGGGGCATGCAGGAGGCAGCCAATTGATGTTTCTATCTCTCTCTTCCTCTCTGTAATCAATAAAAAAGTATTTTTTTAAAAGGCAAAAATATAAAGAAAAAAAGGCGGGGGGGAAGAATCACCTGCTCATTAAAAAAAAAAAAATAGGAGAATGTGATTGTTTGAAAAGAGGTGTTGCTGTGAAAGAAGAGCATCTGGAGCAAGGGCACAGCTCAGTGACAGAGCTGGTCAGGTTAGATCAAATGGCATTTTGGAATACAGAGCTACAACTTAAAGAGAAGGTGAGAGAAGAGATAAAATAAATGTCTGCCCTAAGAAGCAAATGGAACTCTGTCAGCACAAGAATCATATGGGGTGAAGAATATAAATCTATGATAAAGGTTTAAAAATTGAGTAGGGATGTATATGGCCACTGTGCTACCCACTCCAGCTCCCACTCCCGTAGCAGACATCACCAGTCAATCACATCACTTTCTCATAGAGCCTAGGTAGGCTCTTAAATTCACCAGGAAAGCCACAACTGATCAAATGAGAGGAAGCTTATTTGATGTCCTTTGTTTGCAATAAATTTTACGAGTGGGTTTTGAGAAAAACAGTGATTTCGGGGTACATGTCTGAACTTTTAGAAATTGCTAAACTTAAAGAGAATATGTAACTGCTCATAAAACATCCTGGGGAGCCACTGCCAAGGATGGCATGTTGAGACGAGTGATCATTATTGTGATACAACTATGACATTTTTCAGATGTCCTATGTGACATCTGGTGACAGATAGAAGTCAAAATATCTGATTCAAACCTATGTACCAAGTTAAGAATGAACTTAGAATCAAAACTCCAGTCTTTTTTGCCCATTACATCGGTGGTTTTGAAACTTTTGGGTTTTAGCAGAGATTCTTCTGCAAGATTCTAATAAAGGGTGTCCCAAAATTCACGCAAGAAGTAATTTTGATAGAAAACACAGGTTTATAATTAAAAATTGTGAAGTTTTATTGACCCATAATGTATACAGTATAGGGTTATGTATGGAATAGCATATCGGGTAAATGGCCTCCACGGCTTTGCTGGCACATATGCACTCTTTTGTTATTGCCTGAGCAGCCGCATTTTCGAAGATGAATGGTCCGATAATGCCTCCAGCCCCAAATCCGCACCAAACAGTGACACGTTGTGGATGCATTTGTTTCTCAACAATCCCTCGTGGATTTTCTGAACCCCAAATGTGACAATTTTGTCGATTCACCAAGCCATCAAGATGAAAATGAGCCTCATCGAAATTCAGCCACATTTATGCAAAACAGTCATGGAAAATTTCAACTAAAGAGTGCGTATTTGCCAGAAAATGGCGGGGGCCATTTACCCAATATGCTATTCCATACTAACCCTATACTATATACTTTATGAATCAATTAAAAAATTACAATTTTTCATTATAACCCTGTGTTTTCTATCAAAATTACTTCTTGCATGAATTTTGGGACACTATTTTTTTAAAATATATTTTATTGATTTTTTACAGAGAGGAAGGTAGAGGGATAGAGAGTTAGAAACATCGATGAGAGAGAAACATCGATCAGCTGCCTCCTGCACACCCTCCACTGGGGATGTGCCCGCAACCAAGGTACATGCCCTTGACCGGAATCGAACCTGGGACCCCTCAGTCCACAGGCCGACGCTCTATCCACCGAGCCAAACCGGCTATGGCTGGGACACTCTTTAGTTTACAAGGGTCAAAGGGAGCTGTCCTGACGGAGTTGTCCATCCACTTTTTCTGGGTCCTGTGAGGCACCTCCAAGACCCAGAGTTTGAGAAACACCATTTGTTCAGTGCCATGTCTCCCACCTCGGCAGGCACCGCTAATCCACTGCAGCGTTCACTCCCTGAACTCAACTCACTCTCAGAGCTTCTCAGACCATAAAGCCATTACCCACTGATTGAAGTTGTCACATGAGAGAAAGCCTATTTGCCACTTTATTAACCACGTCATAGATGCAAGCACAGTCTAATTTTTGACAGTCATATTGTAATGACTTGATGCCATAATAAATTAGAGACGTTGCTCAAAATGGAAGGTAAAATAAATATTTGTCTATTTTAAGCATTTTTTTTTCTATTTCTCCCTGGCTCCATTCCCGCCACGACCACCTCCACCTACTGCTGTGCAGGGAACTACCGAAGGCAAGCTCCCTGTGAGCCTGGCTAGCTCGTCCACAGAACTCTGGAGTTTCTGAGCGCCTCTTCTCCCCTAAGCCATTCCGTGGTTCTGCGTGTCCTGCTAGGACACCTCTCTCGCCCGGCCTCGGCCTTTCCCAGTTGCCTGCCATTATTCTGGATTTCCTCGGACATGCGAATGGATGTGTGATCCAGGCCAGGCTGGCACTGTGGCCACAGTGAGCAGCTCAGACTGTCAGAGGGGAAACGACCATTTTCAGATACTGATGAGAAGAGTTCGCTCAGCCTTGCTGCAATTTCCAACACCCCGGCCCCACAGGAAATCCAGCCATTCGGAGAAATGGGCAGCCCTGTACCCTGGGCCTCTTCATGAGATTCTGGAGCCACACTCCGTGGACCACACCCCACAGCCCTGCCATCCATCTTCAGAAGCAATCTGCTTGGCGGGAAACCAAGGGGAGCCCCAAAGAGGAAAAGGAGCCCCTAAAGGCAACATGTTTTCCAGGAAATGTGCAAAATGGAGCCAGCTGGGTCACAAGGGGGGTTAGTTTTCTGATCTGACGACGCATATTGAAAGCCTTACCCAATTTTAATACCCGTTGGAGAAAGGGCCTTCGCTCCTTCCACCTTACAGCTCCCCATAAGGCCCAGCCATCACTGACCCAGAGGGGCAGTTGGGGTGTCTGAACCCCTCACCTGAACCCCATCCTCACTGATGCACAGATACAGCTTTTATATCTCTTGTGAGATTCCTTATCCACTGTCTTCTTGCTCTTATTTGAAATGACACAAATGTCTCTCTCCATCTAATCCACATACATCAGCCCTCTGCTGCCAGGCTTAGGTTTTGGAGAAAACCAAGCCAGAGAAAAATCAATATGATTTTTTAAAAGAAATTCACAAACTAAGCCTGTTTTAAAAATTATAATAAAATTGTTAAAAATGAATTTGGTTCATCAATCCATTTCCTTTTGCATTTCCGGGCTCCCTGGGTCCTGGGAAGCAGCGACCAATTTTTCCAACACTTCCGCCTGGTAGTTGAGAGTCTTGAAGAGAGAAGTATATTCCTTGTCTGTTGGGGTATTTAGTTATGGTGGTGGTTGTTTTATTTTTGTTTTTCTCTACTTTGCCAATGTGTAAGATAAACTTTCTGGAGCCTGAGGATGGGCTCATCAGGGCCAGGTTGCCTGTTTTCAATAATGAACCTAAACCTGAACCTGAGCCTGAACCAAGAGGCATAAGCGGGCGGCCCAGGTCTCACTGGCATGGGATTCCTAGAATTGCCTGAAAACTCAGGCAATCCAGCAACTGTGACCCAGGCCTCCTCAGGGCAGTGGTCTGTTGGCAGCCATGTGCTCTGTGATTCTCTGCTCTCTGCTCTGCCTGCTTGGTCCAATAGTGGTTACCTGCCTGGCTCCGGGAAGCATTTGAATCTGTCACAGCAAGAATTTGACACCCAAGGAATGCCAGGTGGAGCAAACCAACCGCTCCTGTTGCCCCGGACTTTCTCAAGCTTCTGCAGGCACCAGGCTCGCCCAGGGAGAAGATGGGACCCTTACAGCTGTGTCTGTATTCACCACAACGCCCTGTTGGTGGGGGCCTCCTTCATTCCTCACTCATTTCTCTAGTTGCTGAGTTTTAATATTTTCTCTAATATTTTCCCCTTCCAAGATACCCTTTAGAAAGACAAGATTTGACTTTCTAAATGCATTGGAGAATAAATATTGAAAAAAATATTAAGGTCCTACTATTCCCAAGTTTTGTAAGGGTTGATTTGGAGGAGAATTAAAGCAAGAAAAAACATGGCCTGCCCTACTCAGTGTATCCCACTGCATGGGTTAAGATCCAGTTCTTATTCCTTCTTGGAGACCTGAGTCTCCAGCCACTCTGCCCACTGCTAGGTGGACTCCTGCCATCTGAAGCAGCAGACACCACGCTTAACCCTGCAGAGTGTATGGCTGGGGAAGATGGAGTGAGATATGCAGAAGGCACTAATTAGCACCTCCATTGGCTTAGAAAGCATTTTTTATTTTGGTTTTCCTAAGCATTTCTGACTGATTCATGGAAGACATTTGGTTCTTTGGAATATCGTCCAATAGACTAATCAAATTACATTTTCACAGGGCTCTAAAATAATAGCAATCTGCAGCTTTCTGCACACTTAACTCCTGCATGATCAAGACCCTTAGAAGAGGCAGCCAGCAGGGTTTGTCTCATTTGATGAATTATTAATCTGTATCCTTACAAAAAAAGAGTCTCTTCATTCTCCCTGACACTCATGCTCAAAACCTTAAAGCCGGTTGTAATGATTGGGCTCTTCTTCACCCACATACCTGTTTATTTTGCTGGTGATGTTGACCCATCCTCTCCATTGCTGACACCCACCCCAAGTGGAGGTCACAATCGCTTCATCCCGAGGTGTGTACCTTC